GCTGAGCTTTTCCAGCAACTTCTGTTTTTGTTTAGATTTGCTGACTTCTCGATATTTATCACCAGAGTTGAAGTTCTACACAGAGAAATTTTTAGCTTCATCATCTGTACAGTGGCCTGGCCAATCACTTTCTGACCAATTGCAGACATCCTAGGAGCAGACTCTGATTGGGTTAGAATGGGAAGACTTTGGGATCCAACAGGTTCTGTATAGACACCAATGGTGCAAAACTCTCTTCACATCAGTGTCTTTTTAATCATTGCTGCAGCTGAGTTATTTGTACTAAGTTAGATCTTCATCTTACCATGGGATTTAGTATTTTGGGTATTAGAATCTTACTCATATTCTTGATCAGTGATGACTCTCCCATCCTCAAAGAAAGCCATTGGTGGGAATCAGTGATGACAATAGCATTGAATATGAAGACAGGATGGTTAAACAGTCTCTCATAGAAGATATTTATTAGAAAACATTTGTATCTTATCCATCTTATCCAAAATGCAGTGTTCCGCCACTGAGACTCCATGCACTGGCTTAGATACTGATGACCTGTTCTTGAGGGAGAGGAAGAGGACCTCTGGAGTTTCCAGTTACTGTCAGGACTTTAAAGCTGAAAGCTGTTGTGGTGGAGAGCAAAGATTTTTGTCGGGGCTTGGTTTGCTGATAAAATGGAACATGTCAGTTGGGTGGGAAAAAGATGAATGAGATCAGCCCCAGCTTACAGCAGCAGTGTGTACTATCTCCAAGGCGTGCTGCAGAAATTCACCAAAGATCCTCAGACAGCACCTTCCACACCCATGACCACTTCTATCCAGAAAGACAAGGCACCAGTACATGGGATAACCACCACCTTCAAGTTCCCTCCAAGCCCCTCACCATCCTGACTTCGAAATATATCGCAGTTCCTTCAGTGTCACAGGTCAAAACCCTAGAATTCCTTCCCTAATGGCATTGTGAGTCAACCTATAGCATACTGACTGCAGCGGTTCAAGAAGGCAGCTTACCACTATCTTCTCAAGGGCAACTAGAGATGGACAATAAATGCTGGCCAGCCAGCGATGCTCATATCCCATGAATGAATGTAGAAAATAGCATATAGAGAGTGGAGAATGGACAGTCAGGGTCTGAAGCTCATGAGGCAGTATTGATGAGGAAGCTGCATGGTCTGGCACATGGGGTACATCCGTACACAGTAATTGGTTCCGGGGGCACAAGGGCCCACTGGGTTCGGGGTTGGGTTGACAGGCTGTTCGTGCTCTCAGTCAGGGATGGGATGGGTGTGAGGGCCCAGGCCAGGAGCAGCATCAGGGCCCAACATTTCCTTGTCTGGGAGACAGCACTGTGTGCCTGGATGACGAAAGGACACAGCGGGAATCTGTGAGCTGATCAGAGAGGAAAATCCAGCCCAGGGCAGTGCCAGGAAAGAGAGAGGACTGGCAGGGGTTAAAATCTGATACAGGAGAACTGATTGAGGCATAAAGACAGGAGAGAGAGATCTGAGAGGGAGGACAAAATGAAAAGATGTGAAGAGAGCAAATGGAAGTGATTGGCTCAAATTACCAGTGAAAGCCAAACAGCACACACAAATTGTCGCAGAAAGAAACATACATTACGTCGGGTGCTAACCACAAAAAATGAAGATGCTGATAGCTTTGTAATGAGGAATATTAGGGATGAGCCAAGAGGAGAGAATAGGAGTTCAGTCATGCTGTGAAATTGCACTGGGTGGCTGGGGTCAGTGTGAAGTAATGTTAACTATTTGGAGGCAGATGTGCCAACATAAGCCCCTTTCTCTCTCTCATCCTGTTGCTCTACCCCCTCACTCTCCCTCCCCCTCACCCTTTCATTCCCCTTTTCCCTCCCCTTCACCATCTCCTTCCCCTTCCCCCTTTCCCTCCCCATTTCCCCCTCTCCCACTCCCTTTCCCTCCTGCTTTCCCTCTTTCTCTCCTTCCCACCTTTCTTTTAGCCTCTCCCTCCCACTCTCCCTCCCACTCTCCCTCCCACTCCCTGTCTCCTTCACCCTCTCCGCCCTACACCCCGCCTTCCTCCCCCTCTCCTTGCTCCCCCTCTCCCTCCCTCTACCCCCCATCTCTCACACTCTCCCTCTTCTACTCCCTTTCCCTCTTTTTCCCCCTCTTCCTTTCTGTTTTCCCTCCCCTTTCTTTCACCCATTCCCTCCCACTCCCCTCCTGCCCTGGCGCCTCCCCCAGCCCCTTTGATGGTCTGCATTGAGTTTAATGGGCTTTGCATGTAAATTAATCATTTGGAGATTATGGGTGATTTACTGGGGCTGGTTAATAGGTGAAAAAATACCAAGGATCAAGTCTTGGGGGATTCATTAGTGATTTATTTTTCAGATGATCAGCCTGGTAACAGGTAACCATTCCTGGTCCAGACCAGTAAACCCAGATATGATCATAGAGAGAGGGAAAACCCCAGTCTCATCACCATGTTCCTGTTTTTGATCTGCAGATAACCAGTTACATCGAAAGTGACATGAAACGGGGTCTGAAGAAAGAAAATAACACTGGAATTGTGGAAGCTTGGAATAAAATCCAGGAACAGGTAAGTTGTGGGTGTCATGAATCTGCCCCTTGCATTCTTGGAAACACTGGTGACAGTTTCTGGAGAGGCACAGCGGCTCACTGGTTAGCACTGCTGCTTCACAGCAGGGACCCGGGTATGATCCTACCCTGGGGTGACTGTCTGAGCAAAGTTTGCACATTATCCTTGTATCTATATTGTTTTCCTCCCACAGTCCAAAGATGAGCAGGTTAGGTGGATTGGCCATGGGAAATGCCGGGTTACAGGATTAGGGTAGGGGTGTTCTTCTGGGTGAGATGTTCTTCTGAGGATCAGTGTGGATTCGATGGGCTGAATTGTCTGCTTCCACATTGCAGAGATTCAATGATTTGGAATTGAAGAAAATGGCTGCCAGTTCCATGCCTCACACAACACAAGATTAGGCAATGGAGGCCTTAGCCAGTGAGAGACTTGCTGATCTTAGTTTGTGGATGGCCAACTGAATCAAGGGCCATTCAGGCAGTTGAGAGGCCAATGGGAGGCTTTCCCCAAGGGAGTTGGTTCTCACTGAGGACTGGAGCCTGTAGATTTTTTACTCAGCAGCACAACTGGGAGGGCAGTGGCTGCTGCTAGAATGACAGCCACTGGAGGCCCAAACCCTGGCCAGCAGTGATGGGAGTGTTTCTGCTGGATGGGGGGAGCTGAGGTGGAGGGAGACATTGGGATGGGTCAGCGGCAAAGGTGTGGGCGTGGCTGTCAGCAGTTCCCCTCTTTCCCCATGCTGAGGCCCTCAGTCAGTTACTGAGTCCCCAGCAGGAACCCTGTCCACAGCCAGTTGGCCCACACAGCTTTCTTGTCATGCTCTAGGTATGGCAACATCTGGATGAGGCCTATTTAACTGAACACGAATTACTCACTAAAGGGTTGCAATTGGTAGTTGGGCAGAAATGCACTGGGGTGATCAGTAGCTGCCCTAGCCAACTCCAAACACAGCGTGGAAGGAGGCAGGTGTAGTGATCGGAACCAGGGCCAGGAGGATCTTATTGACTATGAGATCCTTGATTAGGTTTGTTAACTTGGGCCATTCAGGGACCCCTGGCTGACAGATGAAAACAGGAGATACAGACAGTCTCCTCTTTCTAAGGACTGACTCCGAGCTGGCTGGCCACATATAAATAAATGGTGTGTTGGTAATGGGATACAGTAGGAGAGTCTATTTGGTGGTTTGCTCTGAAGTCATGGCAAAAAACCCTGGGAAGCGAGAAGGATGTTCCTCTTTGGTGTTTCATGTAGGCTTGTTGTGCTGTGCTGTTCTTTGTTCTTTGCTGCCATCAATGTGACTCCTTTCACGAATTTGGGGAAACATGGCAAAGGTGGCAACTCGAAGGATGCAATGATACTGTTAGGAATGCCGTGTAGTCACCACAAAACCTTCAGATAGTCTCTGCTTTTCCCATTAGGGAAGGAAATCTGGGACTCCAGTTCCTCACAAACATCATTTTTTTTCAAACTGAAAAAGCATACTTTATTGATAAAAAATAATCTTCACCCACATTCACAGGTACTAGGTCTGTACAGTCTTTGCGTAGCAAGAAAAACAAGCATTGCAATTTGGCACCAAATGCATTTCTTACTCACGCAGGACACTATTCACATACATTGAGGTATTGAGAGGGTCTACTCACAAACAGCATTCATTCTTGAAATGACCTATCCCAGCCCTTCCTTTTCACTGAAGTTCATCATAGAAATTCTATTTGGGTGCATCACAGCCGGGGCAACTGCTCTGCCCAGGACCTTAAGAAGCTACAGAGAGTTGTGGACACAGCCCAGACCATCACACAAGCCGACGTCTATACTTCTCACTGCCTCAGAAAGACAACCAACATAACCAAAGACCCCTCCCACCCCAGTTATAATCTCTTCCAATCTCTTCTGTTGGGCAGAAGATACAAAAGCTTTAACGCACAGGCCAACAGATTCAAGAACAGCTTCTTCCCCGCTGTTATTAGATTTCTAAATGGACCTCTCAAATTTTTTATTTAATGTTGATCTCGCTCTTTGTGCACCTTATCCGCAGCAGTTACATTGTGTTCCTCGCCCTGTTGCATCACCCTAATGCACTTTGTATAGTACGATCTGCCTGCACTGTGTGCAAAACAAAACTTTTCACTGTACCTAGGTACATGTGACAACAATAAATCAAATCAAAAAATCAAATCAAATCAATGTCTTCTTGGGGGAACCCTCCAGACTGGTCCTGGGCTATTCAGAAGCAAGAGTGAAATCTCACTATATGCTGCAATAAGTGCTAAAAACTCCTGATGTGATTTATTCATTTTTGTTTTGGATATGTCTGTTATAAAAAAAGTACTAAAATCAAGATAAAAAGGATATCTGAGCAGATAGTCACATGTCATCTAATCGATAACAAAATCATGTTTCTTTTTCGCCAGTTGGCAATGGGAAAGAAGGCATTGTGTCAATCATTGTGTTAGAGATCAATGAAGGGAATGTAGAAGCCGGATTGTGTGGGTTAGGGATGACACATGCTGAAATCTCCAGGTTTCATCCATTCCGACTGGGCAAACACATAAGAAGAGATGGCCAATTAATAACATCCGCATGAGAAAAGACACAGCCCAAAACAGAATCTCTGAAAAATTAAAGCATCCGATTTAATATCAACAATGTACATTTGTCTGTGATAATGTATAGAAGCAGAACTCTGCAGATGTTGGAAATCTGAAATAGAAACTGAAAGTGTTTGGAAATATTCAGCAGGTCTGGCAGCGTCTGTGGAGAAAGAGAGCTATTGATCTGGCATGTTAATTGTTTCTCTCTTTCTGAGAAACTTGATGCTCATTGTAATGTGGTAACTTTATTCTTTCTTTGTTTTCTCTTAGCTGGAGTGTTGTGGTGTTGCTAACTACACTGACTGGGGAAACTCTGTCCCCAGCTCATGCTGTAAAAACAAACTGAAACCTTGCAACTCTCAAAACTATTTCTCAAAGGTGAGGTGAACAAATGCACAAAATTGTTTGCAGGTGGTGTATCTGTGTGTACCTGTATGAGTGTGTATACATATCTATCTGCGCATATATGTGTCTGTGTACACTAATCTGTGCATATTTGTTCTGTGTATATATTTGCATGTGCATGTGTATCTGTGTGTACATGTATATGTTTGTGTATCTATCTATATGTGCATCTGTGTGTTGGTGTGTTTGTGTGTGTCTATCTGTCTGATGATGTGTTTGTGTGTGTGTCTGACTGTTGTTAAATTTGTATGTGTTAGTGTGTTTGTGCCTGTGTATCTGTTGGTGTATCTGCGTGTTGGTGTGTATCTGTCTGTTTGATGGTGTGTTTGTGAGGGTCTGTCTCTTGGTGTGTATGTGTGTTGGTGTGTGTCTGTCTGATGTTGTGTGTGTGTGTGTGTGTGCGTGCCTGTTGGTGTGTCTGTGTTGATGTGTTTGTGTGTGTCTGTCTAATGGTGTTTAGTGTGTGTGTGTTTATGTATGTGAGTGTCTTTTTAATGGTGTGTGTATGTCTGTCGATGTCTTTGTTTGTGTGTGTCTACCTGTTGGCATGTGTTGGTGTATTTGTGTGCATGTGTCTATCTACTGGTGTGTTTCTGTTTGTGTGCTTATATGTTGCTCTTTCTGTGTGTCTGTCTGTTGGTGTGTATGTTTGTCTGTTGATGCGTTTGCATATCTGTAAATTGCTATGTGCGTGTGTCTATCTGTCTGTTGGTGTGACTGTGTTCGTGCCTGTCTGTTGCTGCGTGTGATTCTACATGCTTGTGGCCCCAAGTTGGTGCCTGTAGGTTGCATAATCAATTACTCATGTGTTCTGCAAGGTTTCCACTTCTTTACTGAGAACCAGCTTCTAAAATTTGTGTGTGTTTGTTTTCCAGGGATGCTACAGCATGATCCGAGAATGGTTTGATGCCAACTTTTTATTTATTGGGATTGCCACCATCTGTGTTTCAATTATCCAGGTAAGTACTTCATGTAAATTCATCAGACATTGGTACAAATAATCGTTCCACTGGTTTAGATGTGAAAGTGTCACTGGTACCAGTCTGAAGGAATGCCAAAGACTAGAAACCTTTCATGTGCCATCTTGCTTTTTAATAAACACGCTCGAGGATTCACAGTTGAACATTTGAGATCTGAATACCTCTCGGTGTTAAAACTGATTTCTCTTAACCCTTCTTTTCCTGTAATAATGTAACTAAAGCCATGACAAGGGCTTTAAACTAAATTGTGTGGGGTGGCGATGAGAGTTTACGTGAGGCAAGAGTTGTACAGTTAAGCAGAATGCACAAAGCAATAGGACAGGCTAGCGATACACGCACTGATAACCAGAGCATGACAGGAAGAGGAAGAGAGAAAAATAGAACATTGCACCAAACAAATAAGGTCAGATGGGGAAATGGCAAAAAAAGACAGAATTAAAGGCCCTTTATTTGAATGCTCACACCATTTATAACAAGATAAATGAATTGAAAGCAGTGTTAGATACATGCCAGTATGGTATGAAAATAATTACAGAAATATGGTTGCAAGGTGACCAAGGAGGGGGACCTGAATATTCAAGGGTTTTGATATTTTGGAAGGATAGCATGAAAGCAAAAGGAGGTGGGATTTCCTTATTAATAATATTTGCAATTAGTACAATAGTGATCTTGATATAGTAGATCTTGATATGGAATCCACTTGGGTAGAGATAAGTAATAGCAAAGGAAAGAAGTCGCTAGTGAAAGTAGTTTATAGCTCCCCCCACAGGTGCCACTGAGTAGGACAGGCAGTGCATCAAGAAATGGTGGTTTTCAAGCAATTTGCTGAATTACTCATGAGTGACTTAAACCTTCACATTGTTTATACAAATCACAGACACACAGACACACACACACACACACACACACACACACACACACACACACACACACAGGCACACAAACACGTGCGCACACAAACACAAGCATGCTCGCACACACACAGGCGCACACGTACACACACAAGCACGCTCGCACACACACAGGCACACATGCACACGCGCGCACACACACTCTCTCACACACACACATACTGTCACTCTCACTCGCACTCACACACACACACATACTGTCACTCTCACACACACTCACTCACACACACACGCACACTACTGCCTTGGTATTTTCTCATAAGGGTGATCAAACATTCAGCTTCACAATGACAGAGCATCAGAGGCTGAGGGGTGACCTTATAGAAGTTTATAAAATCATGAGGGCCACGCTGAATAGCCAAGGTCTCTTTCCTAGTGTAGGGGAGTCCGAAACTAGCGGGCATAGGTTTATGGTTAGAGGAAGAAGATTTAAAAGGGCCCTAAGGGGCAATCTTTTCATGCAGAGGGTGGCCTGTGTACGGAATGAGCTGCCAGAGGCAGTAGTAGAGGCTGATACAATTACAACTTTTAAAAGGCATCTGGATGGGTACATGAATAGGAAGGGTTTAGAAGGATATGGTCCAAATGCTGGCAAATGGGACTAGATGAATTTAGGATATCTGGTTGCCGTGGACGAGTTGGACCTAAGGGTCTTTTTCCATACTGTACAGCTCTCTGAAGCTATGACTCTATGTAGATCCACAACTAGTGTTAAGCCCAAAGACAATTACAAGGGCTTGAAGCGAATTGGCTAAAATGGACTGGGTAAACATGTTAAAGCAAGGTAAGATTTACAGAAGTAGTGAAGACATTTAAAGACGGATTTACTGGAATCTAACACACAAATATATATTCTGTTCAGGAAGGAAGATTACCAGAATGGTGCACAATTTGTGGCTAGATAAGGAAGCCAAGAGGCTTGTTAAATAAAAAGAAAATGCTACAAAAATTAAAAGTAGATCAAAGGACAGTGAAAGCTTTAGTGACCTACAAAGGATGATGAAAAAATAGTATAGAGGGTGAAGTCACAATGAGAGACAACTCACGAGGAATATAAAAACACTCTAAAAACTTCTATAGATATATAAATAGGAAGACAGTAGCTAAAGTGTGCTTTAGTCTATTAAAGGGTGGGACTGGGTGATTAATAATTGTAAATAGTAAAGGCCAGAGACTTTGAACAAACATTTTGTAGTTTACTTCACCATGGGGGAACTCAACGAACCTCCCAAGAGGGGCAGAATATCAAGGGGCAAAAGGAAGACAAAGAGTGAAAAAGTCCCTGGACCTGATGGTCTTAATTCAAATGTTTTAAAGGAAATAGCTACAGAGATAGTGGTTCCCAAATGCCCTATATTCAGGAAAATGAATTGGAAAAATATAAAATTATTCAAGAAAGAAGGAAGACTGAAAGCAGGAAACTATCAGCTAGTCATCCTAATGTCAGTCATAGGGAAATTGCGAGTTTCAAACATTATTGGACAATCAGCATAGTTTTGTGAAAGGGAAATCATGTTTGACAAAATTAGAATTCTTTGAGGTTATGTCCAGCAGGGTAGACAACTGGTAGATGTGGTGCATTTTGATTTCCAAAAAGACATTCAACAAGGTGCCACACTAAAAACATAATCAAAACAAGTACAATTTTGGAGATATATACTGCTGTGGATAGAGGTCTAGTTCAGAAATGGAAAGCAGAGAATCAGGCGAAATGTGTCATTTTAACTTGGCAAACTGTCAATAGCGGTATGTCACAGAGGTCAATGCTGGGGCCTCAACAGTTTATAATCTACATTAATGACCTGGGCTGACTGTATCGCAGCCAAACTTACTGATGATACAAAGATTGGTGGGAAAGTAATTTGCTAGGAGTGTGCAAAGAGACTATAAAACGACATTGATAGGTTAGGTGAGTAGGCCAAAATTTGGCAGATGGAGTATATTGTTGGAAAATGTGAGCTTGTCCACTGTGCTTACTGCGACCAGGGAATGGAAAATACTAACATTTAGCTTCTCCTGCCTTCAGGTACTCGGTATGTCATTTGCCATGACCATGTACTGCCAGATCTGTCACAACTACAAGTCCTATGAAAATTGACCCGATTCCACAGGTCTGGAAGAGGAAAGCCCATCCTGTGGGATCGTAAATGTATCTGCAATCATAGGCTCTGTTCTTCTGAAGAATGGGACTTTGCTCATTTCTTGATGCTATTACCAGATGGTATGAGTTTTAACTGTATAAACCGGATCTATCTAATTTGCCAATGACTCAGCTCTGGTACAACTACAGTTCCTCTCAAGGCTCTCCTTTTGGACTTCAATCACACCTCTGCAAAGTATCAAACTTTGTCTTATCATGTCTGTTTGCTGGGAAACTGTGGGGTTTAATAATCCTGCATTGCACTGTTGTCAGAGTAATGGGCAGGGACTGTCTATCTTGGCTGTTATGTTTACCAATCCAAAAGCAGAACAGTTTCCAGAATTACACAGGATATCCTTCATGGTAACAAGACCTGAGGAGACCAAGCCCCAGTAGTTATGTCCCACATGAGCCTTCTCCCTCTATCCTTGATCTAACTCTATTTCTTTCACCATTACATACCTACCTGGATTTTCCTTTACAATGTATGCATGCCCTTCAACTGCACGTTGAAGTAGCAAGTTTCAAATTCTAAGCATTCATACCAGCAAAGGTGTTTTGCCTGAATTCTCTTTTGAATTTGTGGGTGATTATAGCTCCTAGTCCCATCTTACCCACAACTGAAACACTTTCTCCAGGCCTGTCCTACCAAATCCTTCCATCACCTTAAACACAGCTCGGTCATCTCTTAATCTTCTCTTTTTTAAAGAACAGAAGCCCAGCCCAATCAATCCTTCCTCATCATAACCTGCCAGTTCTGATATTATTGTTGTAAATCTTATTCCACCTTCTCCATGTACTTTCTGCACATTATCCTTTTGATAACATGGAGACCTGAAATGTTCTCATCACACTTTATTTGATCTAACTATAGTTTTATACAAGCTTAATATAACATTGTTTTTCAATCTGCCAGAACTGGATCTCAGTGTTTGGTTTGCATATTTATTAACCAGTCTCACTACTTTTAATGATTTTTGTAGTCACTCCTTTATTTAAATGTTTATTTTCCTTAGATAATAAGGTTCTTCCCAAAATGGATTATCTGTCACTCCCTGATGTTGAATTGAAATTCACTACCCCTTCCTGATGGTTTATGTCCCTGACATTGGGGTGATGGGCTCACTACCATTTGGGCTTTGCTGAACCCATACTTGGCTCTGAATGACACATGAATGCGCCACATGACTGTCTTGTAAATGAAAATTATTGCTTAGGGCAAGACAGAGCTGTGACAACAAACTGAGAGGCTGGATGGGTGTCACCAATTGACTATTGCATTTGCCAAAAATCACAACAACTTCTGGAGGATCTTATTCGCTGTGAGTGCTCTGTGGAGCTAAAAATGACAAGATAAATTTCTGCCATCCTTCAATCTGGAGATCAGTTGTCACTGATTGCTTTGGTGCCAATGGCGTTGTATTTGGAATGTGTGCAAGCGCTTTATACATTTCCACCTGGCCACATACACACAGATAATGTCTTGTCCAAAACCTGTGCAGATCACTGGTTAGAACTCAACCAAAGCTCTCTAGACTGCATGAGAAAACATGAGGGACTCTCCTAAAGTTCCACTAATGAAAGATTCTTCTCTTTGAAACTCAGGAGACAAATCATGCAACCATGAAATTTCTTTGAATGTTTCCCTCAAAGGATTATTAAAATCATGGAGATGGGAAAAGGGCTGGTTGATACGATGTGCAGTTGGAGATTTTCTTTTTATTCATTCAGGGGACATGGGCATCGCTGGCTGGACTAGCCTTTATTGCCCATCCCTAGCAGCCCTTGAGAAGGTAATGGCGAGCTGCCTTCTTGAACTGCTGCAGTCTATGAGCTTTAGGTCAACCCACTAAGCTCTTAAGTAGGGAATTTCAGGATTTTGGAACCTGATGGTAGATCAGAAAGACGGCTCACCAGAGTTGGCAACTCTCATCAAGACATCTTGAAAGCCTGAGAATCTGCCACTTTTCTCTGGACGGTCTTGCGTAAACATACGAAAATATTGTGTTTGCTGATCCTTCAAACTTCACTTCAACTCAGTTGTTGATAGCGGCATTTTGAAAATAGGTCTCATTGGCTGAATATTGGATATTCCAACAAAATAAAGGGTATTCTCCCAGTGCGATATAACAAGGGGGAAAGTGACGCACTCAGTCAGCACCTGGAGGTACTCAAGCATAAAGCTCCAACCATGGTTTGTCTTGCAGCAGTATATTCAATATAACTGAGAGTCAATAGAGTGGAAAGGGCCATGATGTCACTTCCCAAATCGACTACAAATTTCCAGTGTCAAAATGTAATTGATATTCAATTTGTACAGTAATAGAAGGATTTTCTTTAAGGGACTGGATGGCCTTTTCTCAGCATTGACTGTTCTTGCTTTGTCAGTGTAAAGAAACCTCAGCTTTGAGATCTAAAATAACCAGAACACAGCAGATTATTAAGAAGAGTTGGGTTGTGATTCCAATTTCCCTTGGGGTCTGTAAATGATTGTTGAGATGGTGTGGCCACAGAGCCAGTGAGAGTTTGTGGGCATATTGTATCCATCTCAATAGGGCTTTAGTATTCAAATATGGTTTCAGAATAATATGTTTGAGACATCTCATTGACATGTTAGATCAAATTGAGAAGACAGTACTATGATAATCACGCATTTAAATAACTGACTTCAATTAATTATACAAGTAAGGCAAAAAGTGCTACAGATATTTGCTCAAATGTTTGGAGATCAATGATCAATTAGGTCCTGAAATGTCTGTTCCTTTGGTCTATATTTCTCCATTCAATGCATTGCTCTGTAGAAATCTCTTAAGAGGCTGCATATGGACATGCCACAATTCCTGACAAGAATGGAGATGATTTAGTTCATGCGCTAGTCAATCAGATGGACACTGCTGTAAAATTTTATGCATGTAATTGATATTTTGTAACTATCCTTTATTCACTGCGATTTGTTGGCGATATCACTTCGCTTTCAAAAACAGCATTTCCTGGATTGTCAGTCACATGTTTCTTCATTGAGATCCTCTTCAAATAAAAGATGTTTGTGTATGGGGAGGGGATGCAGGGGACGTATAAACGCTCTTTCCAACTGTTTCTTTTAATAACATGTCAGAATGCATCTTTTTAAAAATAAACTTTATTTCGAAAAACTGTTGGCTGTGATTTACTTTTTAAACAACAGGCCCTTAATGCCAAGTAAATAAACTTTCTTTGCTATAAAAATAGTCTGTTTTATGTGAGTCCTGTTGCATGTGCAAAACCACCTCCGACTCACTGCTGGATGCAGAGGTGGCAATGTGAAATGGAGAAAATCACAGAGACGGATCAGGCACAAATCATGGCAAGAAGAAAATATGGGGATTATTGTAGCCATTGGGTTAGTCCCAAACTGCCATGGATAATGGGGAATGAAGAGTCAACGAGAATGAGGAATTTGAAGAAATCATTCCCAGTGAAGAACTAAATCCCATTAATTTCTCCAGCACTAAGTGACAACAAAACCTCTGGATTTCTGACAACCCCCATCGAGGATATGAAAAGAGAAAGTTGCAGAAATAGTGGATGCATTGGTTATTCATCTTCCAGAATTCCTTAGACTCTAGAACAATTGCATAGATGTATATCCTCAGCCAATATATCCTCAAAGGAGGAAGTGAGGAAGGAATGAAGGCAATTAGCTTGAGATCAGTGTCCAGCAAAATACTAGGATCTATACCAGGGGCTTGATAATAGACCACTTTAGAAAGTAATAACATAATAGAAATAACTCCACAGAGCCCCGTACCCTGGCACCAAGTCACCCTTTATTTAACCCTCAGAGAATCCTTGGCACTGATCCAGGTCCCTCAGAGCCAGCTCTCAGAGTGAACAAAACCTCTGACAATCCTGTTTTTTTTTAGCCAGCTCAAAGCCAGTCCCTCGAATGAGGAAACTCTCTGAATCTCCTTTTTTTTCCTGTGAGAAGACACCATTGTGCAAAAACTTCATTCCATATTTTCCACCACCAGGAAAACACCAATGTGGTCAGTGAAACATTAACAAGCAAAGCCTGATAAAGGCAATGCCTATGTGAAAAATGTGAAGGGGAAGGGTAAGGACTAAATCAAAGCAGAGTCAGAGGACTTTCCTGTTTAAAGCTGTGAGCCAGGGCTCCCTGATCGGACAGATTAACATCCCAATGAGGAACTCATATTCTGTGAGGTCTACCTGGCTGACCTTGTTACAATCACTACATCCTTCCCCTTCTCTGAGTGCAAGGACATAGCCCAGTCCATTTTTTGTCGCTACTGTCTTGGGGTGTTTTAGCACCGAGTAAGGTTCCTCCAACTGTGCTGCTGATACGGGCAGCGTGTAACACACAGTTGTTCGTCTTTTACGCCCAGAGCATCCCAGTCGAATTTCACTCTCTTCTTCAGGCAGTAAAGGCAGTATAAATGTCAAGATGGCTATATTCACTGTGTCCATCTCAGATTCCAAGGTATCTTTGATGCTTGATGGTGAGGGAGAGCACATGGGTTCCAGAACAGTCGGAAAGGCTGGCAAGGAGCCAGGGGTGGGCAATGGCCTAGTGAAAGTATCTCTGGACTGTTAATCCTGAGGCCCAGATAACATTTTGGGGACCCAGGTTCGAATCCCACCATGGCAGATGGTGGAATTTGAATTCAATAAATATCTAGAATTAAGAATCTAGTGATGATTATGAATCCATTGCCGATTGTCAGGGGAAAAACCCATCTGATTCGCTAATGTTCTTTAGGGAAGAAAACTGTCATCCTTACCTGGTCTGGCCTACATGTGACTCCAGACCTCAGCAATGTTGTTGACTCTGAACTGCCCTCTGAGCAATTAGTGATGGGCAATAAATCCTGCCTCACTAGCGACGCCCTCATCCCATGAATGAATAAAGCAAAAGAAGAGCTGGACGTATTTTGATCCTGCACCGTTTGCCAGTATGCAGCTTCCATATGATCCATGTGCTTGTTCAGGACCATGGCATCTACCTGAACATTATACATCTCTGGACCTGGCCTCACGTTGACCACACAGGATGCGGAGCTGAGCAAAGAAGTGGCAGATGGAATTCAACCCAGAAAAGTGTGAAGTGATTCATTTTGAATGCAGAATACAGGGTTAATGGCAAGATTCTCGGCAGTGTGGAGGAACAGAGGGATCTTGGGGTCCACGTCCATAGATCCCTCAAAGTTGCTACCCAAGTTGATAGGGTTGTAAAGAAGGCGTATGGTGTGTTGGCTTTCGTTGGCAGGGGAATTGAGTTTAAGAGCTGCGAGGTTATGCTGCAGCTCTATAAAGCTCTGGTTAGACCACACTTGGAATATTGTGTTCTGTTCTGGTCGCCTCATTATAGGAAAGATGTGGAAGCTTTAGAGAGGGTGCAGAGGAGATTTACCAGGATGCTGCCTGGACTGGAGGGCAGGTCTTATGAGGAAAAGTTGAGGGAGCTAAGGCTTTTTTCATTGGAGCAAAGAAGGATGAGAGGTGACTTGATAGAGGTGAACAAGATGATGAGAGGCATTGATAGAGTGGATAGTCAGAGACTTTTTCCCAGGGCAGAAATGACTATTACGAGGGGGCATAATTTTAAGGTGATTGGAGGAAGGTATAGGGGAGATGTCAGAGGTAGGTTCTTCACACAGAGAGTGGTGGGCGTATGGAATGCGCTGCCGGCAGTGGTAGTGGAGTCAGATACTTTAGAGACTTTTAAGCGACTCTTGGATAGGCACATGGAGGATAGTAAAATGTAGGGTATGCAGGGTAGATCGATCTTAGCAGCATAATAGGTCGGCACAATATCGTTGGCCATAGGGCCCGAACTGTGCTGTACTGTTCTATGTTCTATGTTCTATGCCTTTCACCCATGCAGGGCCATTCCCAAGGTTCCTACACCAGGCCCCATTCCCTGAAGTAAATTGTCTCTCCCGCTTGGCGGAACCCTGATGGCGTTTCACACTACCCCCAGGTCTAGGAACCTGATCAACTCTTTCCATGATCAACTTTGCTGGCTCTGTCCTATAATCAAAAAGGAACTGGGATAGTTTGGTATCTAGCGAAGCTATAAGCTATTTCTTTAAGCCTGCCCTGAAAGTTTGGACTGCTCTTTCTGCCAGACCATTGGACCGTAGATGGTATGGAGCTGTCCTTATATGACGAATACCATTTGATTTTAGGAAATACTCAATTCTCTGCTGGTAAACAATGGCCCATTTCTGTGACCAACACTTCTGGGAGTCTGTGTAATGCAAAGGATGCGTGTAGGTTTTCTATTGACGAATGAACTCAATGCACATGCAGCCACTTTGAGTGGGCATCGACAATGGCTAGGAGCATTAAGCCCATGAATGGACCTGCATAGTTGATACATAACTGAGTCCAGGGTTTTCACGGCCAAAAAGGCAGGCATCACATATCAATACCAGATCTAGCTTGGCATCATAGTGTGCCAACACCTTAGAGGATGACAGCTGTTTCTTCACTTTCCTGAAACCTGTGGTTTGACTACGCGACCATTTCCAAGGCTGATTCTTTTTTAAGAGTTGATGCAAATGTGCCAGGATGGAGGCCACGTTATGTATGAACTTTCTGTAATAATACATCAACCCAAGGAAAGACCTAAGCTCCGATACCGATGTGGGAGTCCAGGGCACATTTAATCACCCACACTTTATCTTCCAATGGGTGTCGCTCAGTATTATCAACTCTGTAGCCCAAGTAGGTCATTTGGAACACCTGGAACACACAGTTTTCTCTCCCAAGGTGTACACCCGCCTGGGAGAAACGTTTAAGCGCTATGTCCAAGTTCACTAAGTGCTCCTTATTGGTCTTTACTGTTATTAGGATGTTATCTAGATAAATGGCAACCTGGGGTAGACCTTGTAAAATGTTTTCCATCGCTCGCTGAAAAATTGCACAATCAGTGGTAACTGAACCAGCTGTTTCTCATAAGAGACCAGAACCAAAGTCATACCTTCAATGTGTAAAGGTTCCGTGGTATATGTTCTCAGCCTAGCCAAGGCCTCGTGCCATTTTAATGGTTGGAGTCCAGAGCAAATTTTGGTAAAGACTGGTTCTGTGATCACTGAAACCGCCGCAGCAGTATCGACTTCCATTAGAACCAGGTGACCATTTAACCAGACGTTTATTTTGATTGCTTTTGATTTGGATTTTGCTGAGCAATTTAACAGTTCCAAACCAGTTGTAGATGGACTTTCCAGGGTGAGCACTCTCCTGGATACTGACCTATGAGTTTTCTTACTCCATTTAGGTCTAGTGGGACTCTTTTGCTGCTTCAAGTCCTCATACTGGCAGGAACTATAATAACTATCATTGGAGCAAAGAAGGATGAGAGGTGACTTGATAGAGGTGTACAAGATGATGAGAGGTATCGATAGAGTGGATAGTCAGAGACTTTTTCCCAGGGCAGAAATGACTATTACGAGGGGGCATAATTTTAAGGTGATTGGAGGAAGGTGTAGGGGAGATGTCAGAGGTAGATTCTTTACACAGAGAGTGGTGGGTGTATGGAATGCGCTGCCAGCAGTGGTAGTGGAGTCAGATACTTTAGAGACTTTTAAGCAACTCTTGGATAGGCACATGGAGGATAGTAAAATGTAGGGTATGCAGGGTAGTTTGATCTTAGTAGGATAATAGGTCGGCACAACATTGAGGGCCGAAGGGCCTGAACTGTGCTGTACTGTTCTATGTTCTATGTTCTTGCTGGCTTGGATCCTGAAGAATATTTTAACAGTTTGGCTGAGGCTTCACTTTGTTTTGGGGTTTTGCTGTGGGCTGACCTTGTCTCCCTCTGTTCAGGATACGTCCTGAGTGAGGCTATGCAATTACCTTCACTCAAGTGGTGTCCCCCAGACTCAGTCAGACTGGCGAGGGGTGTCCACTTCTGTCAAAATACTCTGCAACTCATAAGCTCCACTTGTAGCATTTTCCAATGATAAAGCCAGTTGTGGTGCCTGTTTAAGGTCCAATTAGGCTTTAGCTAGTAGGCACTTTTGCCTGGTTACATCATTAATCCCACATACCAAGTGGTCTCTCAGCATCTCATTCAGGGTTAAACCAAAGTCAGAGATACTAGGAACTGCAGATGCTGGAGAATCCGAGACAACAAGGTGCAGGACTG